ATTCCACTGTCATGCCCTTTAGCTTCATGAACTTTATAACTGTAGCACAGCACATCAATTACACACTGGATTTACTGGGTGGAACAATGGGAATGTTCTTAAGGCTATTGTTTGCAACAAGTAACAATTTTATAGGTAAAAGGTGTTTAGTACAGTTGTCTTTCAGTATCAGCAATGGATTGGTTCCAGGACACCACCACCATCGCCCTAGGATGCTCAAGGCCCTTCTGCCAAATGGCATAGTATTTGCATATAACCAACGCACATCCCTCTGTGTACTTCTGAGAAAATAGATGACCAGAGTCTGTCTTGTTGGACAAACAGCACCAACCTTGCTGACTTGCTAAAACAAAACAAAAGATTTTGCTGAGAAAGAAACTTTCTATGACTGTACCATATAACTGTGCTTCCTAGAACTATGCAAAAATGTTTCTTTCCCAATAATGGAAAGTCAGTGTTCATGAGAAGCCAATAATTTCCAAAATATAAATTTCCCTTTGATCACAGTCCTTGGTAAATGGCTAATGTTAATCCCAGATGGGACACTTTTCTAGTTGCTTCCAGAATCTGGGTTTCTGAATTTCAGGTCAAAAGCCCAAATAAGGGTTTTTCTTACCTGACAGCCCAACCTTTTTCTCTCAGTCAACATTCTAAATCATCTTTAGATTAGATATAATACCTAATACAATGTAAATGCTATAAATAGTTGTTATACTGTCTTGGTTAGGGAATGATGACAAGAAAATATCTGTACAAGTTCAGTAAAGATATCAGCCTAGCTATATGTACATGTCCCCAACATAATTTTTTCCCCCCAATATTTTTTATCTGCTACTGGTTGAACCTATCAATGTGGAACCCGCAGGTACAGAAGAAAGACTATTTTTATAATTTATTTTCTTAATATGTCTTTTATTGATTACAGAGAAAAAGGGAGAGGGAGAGAGAGATAGGAACATCAATGATGAGGGAAATTGTTGATCAGCTGCCTCCTGTATGCCCCTACTGGGGATCAAGCCCACAACCCAGGCATGTGCCCTTGAGGGAAATCAAACACATGACCCTTCAGTCCCAGTACACAGGTCAATGCTCTATCCACTGAGCTAAACAAACTGGGGCTGTATTTATCATTTAAATTTGTTCATTTGTGAGATGACATGTAAGGTCCCTGTTCTCTTGAGAGCAGTAGAATTCTATTTTTTGGTTATCATCATATCTTTATTTCCCATAACAGCACCTTGCAGGTATTAGATATTTAATGGAAATCCAGTAATTTAATGAATGAATTTTATTGTCATGTGTTTACAGGCAATTTATAATTTCTGTTCTGTAAATTGTTTTTACATGGCCTTGCCAATTGAGATATTAGCAACACTCAGCAAATATAGCAAATTGATTTCCTAGGCAGCTTCTTATTGCAAATGTTGACAGAGGCATAGCATTAAAACACACACACACATACACACACATCTAAATATAGAGTTAAAAAAATGAAAAGTGAATTTGACGTGGTGTGACTATATAGTGTCAGAAGTTGAGCCTGACCCAAGGAGGATTCCTGTTGAGATCAGCATTGATTTGAATGAGAAGTCCATCTAAGGAAGCACGAGATGAGGAATGGCTGGGAAGAGAGCAGAACTCTACAACAGAGAACTCTATTCTACAGACGAACTTGCACAAGTGCTCCCCAAAGATATCTGTTCATTTACTCACAAAATATGTGTGTGGGGCCCCCTTGGAGCCAGGCCCTGTGCCAGATGCTGGGCAATGGCAGCCAGCAAAAGAGGCCAGGTGAGGTCAGGTGCTCGCCCACACGAAGCCTATATCCCAGCATCAGCAATTGCTAGGACATTGTTTACAGGAATAAAACACACATTGCAAACAGCCAAATAATGTCGTTTACAACAACATGGATGAACCTGGAGAACATTATGCTAAGTGAAATAAGTCAAACAGCAAAAGCTAAGAACCATATGACTTCACTCATATGTGGGATATAAAACTGAAACTTACAAACACAAACAGCTATGTAGGGAGAAGGGATTCCTAACATGAGATTGACAGCAGAAGATTTGACTTTGGTTGGTGGGCGCCTGGTGCTATATACAGATTTTATATTATAACTAAGAAATATGCACCTGAAACCTATATGTTCATGTTGACCAATGTCACCCCCAATAAAATTTAATTTAAAAAAAACAACAACAACACTGAAAGCAACCTGAATGAATATTCACCACTAGCAACAAGTTCTTTAATTGTAGTGTAATACTGTGTAAATTTGTATACATACTCACTATAAAAATCCTATGTTCAAAGGAAAAATAATTTAGAGAACAGTATATATAGTATGAGCCCAACTGTGCTTACAAAGAGGGGTTTTCAGCTTCTATCTTACACACTTCGGAACTGCTTACTGTACCATGAACTTGGGGTAAATTTTTTTTAGAATAAAAAGAAAAGTAAGGCATAGGTCTCTACCTGTAGCAAAAACAAAATAGTTCTCCTCTGACTTCAGGAGGACAGAGCTTGTCTCTACTTCCCAAGTAAGCAAATAAGTTCAAATGATTAAACCAACTAAACTACCGAATTCAAACTACTAAATACCATGGTGGGGGTGGGCTGTTGTTTTTTGTGGCTTAATTTGGTTTGTTGGTCTGCCTACAAAGTTGTCAATTGTTTAAAACTTTGTTAAGTCCACAAAGTAGGTGTGAGAGAGGCACTCTCATATTCTGTTGGTGGAAAGGGATATGGTTCTTGTATTCATTTTTACTGGTTTTCACAAGTGATTTTTTAAATCTAGTCCTCCACTTCTCATTTTGTCTACAGCAATTTGGCAACATGCATCAAATAGCCTTAACAAATGTTCCTATCATTTCACCCAGCAAATATAATGCAGTCACAGATATAAATACTAATATATATATATATATATATATATAGATAGATAGATAGATATAGATATATATATATATATATGCACTTACGGCAGGATATTTTTCAACATGGCTATGAACCTATAAGCAAAGTTACCAATGTTGTAAATAGTTAGCTGACGTATGCCTGAAAGTCAAGCATATGTCTGACATACTTGATTTTACTACTATAGGAGTTATAAATTACTTAATGTTTTTCCATGAAGATGTCTGGCTCAGGAACTCCCATGTAAATACATACATATAATAAATCTTTTATTTCTGGCATTATTAAATCGCTCTTGCCCTATAGGCTCTAAGTAAATGTTGAGCAATATTTAATGAATATTATTTTGAAGGGGTGCCAAATCACTGGCCCATACTGGGCACACATTTGTCTCAGTCCATCTTTGGAGAGACCGCTGGCCTTCTATGGAGAAGTCACCAGGAAATAAGGCAACCTCAGAATGTCCCAGAGCGAGTGTGGTTATGCCATAGCTGCTCCTCTCAGCACACCTGACCCTCTTCTTCTCTGTTAGCCTCTGCTTCATTTGGTGCATAGTTCAGCCTGGCTGCCACATCCCTTTCTCAACATAACAACTCTCAATATGCTTTTGACTTCTGCCTCATTGCCAACTCTCTGGGTCTCTCAATCTTCCAACTCCAAATTCCTTCCAGAGATGAGGTGTCTAACTGGCTCAGCTGAATTGTATAAGTCAATCCCATAGGTCAATCCCATAAGTCACTCAACTGAGAGGACAATTATTGACACAGGTCTAGTCAGCAAGGCCACGGGAGGGCAGGGTTAGGCTACAAGCAAGGGAGGCAGGGGTAGATATGTCCGAGCCCCCTGTGCATCCTTGGGATAATTATCCTTAAATATTGCTCTGTTGGCTCAAGTTGTCAAACTTGAGCAGAATGTGACAGCTTTGAGTCAAGGAGCAGCTAGGGGATGTCAAAACCAAGTGAGATAAGAAGGACATCCAGCTGAAATGGGTTTGGCTCAGTGGATAGAGCGTCAGCCTGTGGACTGAAAGGTCCCGGGTTCGATTCTGGTCAAGGGCATGTACCATATATAACAAACATAATGAGTGTTTATGCAGTGAAGGGATTTGGGAGGAAGTGTTTCAGGGAACAGGAAGAGAAGTTTGTTTCTTGAGTTATAGATGATGCTTATATATATCAGACTCCTGAGCGACAGCAGCTGCTCACAGCTAACTTGAAGACATTCTTTCCCTCCACAAAACAAACTCATAAATTATCCTTATGGCCCTGAAGGTATCTCCTCCTGCTTGACAAAGAGACACCCTATTAGCAGCTTATGACTAACTTCCTAAGAACCAAAGGAGTTGAGTAGAAAGAGTGGTTAACATAAGAACAAAGGTCTAATTAAGAAATGAATTATTTCATTCTAGCTGCCAAAAATAGTAGAAATGTTAAAATCACTGATCTGCTGCCTCCTACACAGCCCACACTGGGAATCAAGCCCTGCCTGGGAATATGAGCCGTGACCTCCAGGTTCAGTGATCAATGCTCAATCACTGAGCCACACCCAGCCGGGCTGGCAGAGAGCTCTTGCCAAACCCTTGGATCCGCAGACATCTTGGGTTGGAGGTAAAAGAGTTAACAGCTGTGGGATGACATGGCTCTTTTTCATTCCCTCTTATTTACCAGCCTTACTAAAACCTAACCAATCCGCTCTGCAACCCTGCTCAGATCTTTGGATCAGTCCTAGGTTAATCAGTAGCCCAATGGTACCTGGTAGTCAGGTTGGACATTCTGTGTTGCACACCATTTGAGCCAAATCCCAAGCCAAAACTCATGATTCAGGCTGGAGTTGGAGTGATTCCCTAAAGAGATTTGTTAGTATTTTTTAAGAGAGCTTTACATATTAAGGTTGGAAAATAATTTTTTTTTTCTTTTTATAAATTCAACACAGCATGATAATCTCTGTAGGGAGTAGAGAGAAACTATGCCTTAAAGGGTTAAGGGACACCATCGGAATTAAAACACTTGCTACATAGAAAGCCAAAATCAGCTGATAATGGATCACCTCATTAACCTATTTATTTATTTATTATTTAGGGAAAATGGCTAGTCCACTGGTTGCTCCCTATTCTGCAAGCAAGTTTGCTCTCGATGGGTTTTTCTCCTCCATCAGGCAGGAATATTCAGTGACCAAGGTCAATGTGTCAATCACTCTCTGTATCCTCGGCCTCATAAACACAGGTAAGGTCAAGCGATTGGAATAAATGGCCTGCAGATGGATCATCTGTCTTACAATTGTGGGTAGAGGGTGGTGAACTCCCCAATTCATGTGTAATGACTAAAAGCCAGTGAGAGCACTAAGTCCTCATTTATCACTAGTGGGGCCTCTGACTACTCTTTGAACCCTTCTTTCCATTCTTATCCCCAGATATACTGAGTGACACCACACACATCACTTGATCCTATTCTGAAGACTTTATATCCTCTTGGACTCACAATGGCCATTATTTTCCTATACGAGACTTATCAAATACAAGTTTTCCTTAATAACATCACTAGTAATAAGACATGTCAAATATGAATCCCTTAATATGATGCACTGAAAAACACACAGCAGTGTGCTCATAGTATTCTTGCCAAAAATGCATCACCTCAATCCAATTATAAGAAAACAATGGACCCATGAGAGACAAGGAAAAACTGAAGAACTATCACAGATTGGATGGGAAATAAGAAGAACTTAATAGTAAGTGAAATCCTGATAAGATCCTAGATCATAAAAACGGCATTAGTGAAAAAATAAGGCCTGTAGTTTAGTTAGTAATAGTGTTCCAATTATACCACACCTGTTCTTGATCATTGTGCAATGGCTATATTTGATATTATGATTAGGGGAAGTAGGGTGATGGATGTAAGGGAATACTCTGCATAATTTTTATAAGTTTTCCATAAGCCCAAATGCTAAAACATGTGGCAATTATGATAAGAAAACTTTATTTTAAAGGGTAATTGATTAAACTGAGTAGCAGGTACAGAACGAGAGAGAGAGAGAGAGAGAGAGAGAGAGAGAGAGAGAGAGAGAGAGAGAGAGAAAGACAGAGATGCACAGTGAAACAAGGAAGAGAGAGAGAGAGAGAGAGAGAGAGAGAGAGAGAGAGAGAGAGAGAGAGAGAGAGAAGCTGTGCAAAACAAAAAACAAAAAAAAAAAAAAAAAACAAGAAAAGCTGGAAGGTGAGAGAAAATAGTAGAGTTTCCTTCTGAGTAAAAGTGGATAATGTTGACAAGGAATCAAAGCCCGGATTCTTGTCCTCTTCCTTTGGTGAGTCAGTAAATCATCATGCATCATTCTTTTTTTACTTCTCCCTGCTCCACTCGTCCACCTTACTCCCTCACCCCAACCAAAACACACAAGAGAAGAACATGATTCAAATCTCTCAACTAATTAGCTCTCACTGCCCCCACAAATCTTCACCCAGGAAGACAGGGCCTGTAGTAAGCCTCTCTTTGCCCAACAGACCCGAAGCCTTCCCAGTCTTCTCCACGTGTTCCCTTTAGGGCCCACGGGCCTTTCCGAGGAAGCACTGGCAAACAGCCCCTATTTGCTAAGTTGTTGGGGTCAGCAGGCCTTCCAATGATGTAGGCACTACTAGTCTTGGGTAACTAACCCCACACTTTCTCTTGTCATTTAACAGACTCAGCTATGAAGGCAGTGGATGGGATACTCAGCACAGAGGCATCTCCAAAGGAAGACTGTGCCCTGGAGATCATCAAAGGGGGAGCTCTGCGCCAAGAGGAAGTGTATTATGGCAAATTAGGATGGAGCAACCTCCTGCTGAGAAATCCAGGGAGGATCTTCCTGGAATTTCTCAGCCTAAGAAGTTATAATATGGAAAGATTTATAAACAACTAGAAACGTCCTTAGGGCTGGGCAGGATAAGGGAGCTGTGGGACTGTTTATCTAAGCTCCATCCATGAAGGCATCTACTCAGATAGGTGAATGAGTCAGTCTCCCCAGAGAGTCACAAGTCAGGCCTCATGTCTCCCAATTTGAAGGAGTTCACATGCACGGTGCACATGTGATTACACTAAATGTCATGAAGCTGCAGTATCTATGAGCTTTTTGTTGTTTCTCTGTCTTGTTTTTGCTTAGCCCCTTCCTCTTTTTCATTCAGCCCCTCTAATAGCTGTCAGGCTGTTCTCTACGAGTCTGTTTCTATTCTGTTTGTTAGCTTATTTTGTTCGTTAGATTCAACATATGAGTGAAATCATATGGTACTTGTCTTTCATTAACTGGCTTATTTCACTTAGCATAATACTCTCTAGGCCCATCCATGCTGTTGCAAAAGGTAAGATTTCCTTCTTTCCTAATGGGAACCTGCAGTTGGGAAGTTGTTAGTCACCATAGGTATAAAATTATAAAATAGTTATATCAAATTTACCTCATATATAATAAGGTTCTGGTGCTTAGTATAATAAATTGTAATAAAGGTCACATAAACTTGACAAATCATCACTGGTAGCTATAACTTTAGTCTATTCAGTATGGTGCCTTTAAAATCATAACCTTTACAAATAAAATTTATCAGTATTCATTTCTCATTTTGTGGTTTGAATCTTTTCGTTGTTTTTGAGTTGAAAAAAATCACCCTACTCTTCATTTAATTGATATCATGTCTTCACTAGTCTGTATATTTCAGATACTTTTTCTATTCTTTGTTATTGCTCCTCTAGGAAGGAGGACCCCTGGGTCTGAATCACTAGGGAAACCATCCGTCTCCCCAGTGGAGGTCTCTAGAAACTTGAGCCACACAGCCTATGCTCAACTGTTTTTTAGACATTTGGAGAGAGAGAGTGGGAGTTCAAATCCTGCCATTCACACATTTAATCATTCCTTCAGTCAACATGTATTTATCCAACACTTGCCATGTACCACGTGAATATAACCAAATAGAAAGCAAGACTTCGGTTACATGAACAACTCAATAAAACCCTAGTTAGGCCCCAAACTTGAAAAAGAAGGCAAACTTGATCATTTTAATGGAGTTTAATAGCAATGGGGGTTATTTACAACAAGTGTGGGCAAGACCAAAGGGAAATCACAAGAGATAACGTGGATATCAGGGCCAGTTGAGGCTGTTTCCAAGGACAAGAGGAGAGAACTGTTATGAAAACCCAGAGATAAAAAGAACTGTTTGGAGAGGGCTGTGTGGCAGGAGCTATGCCATTCAGTCAAGGAATGCAACCAGCCCACTAAGGATCTTGAAGGAGGAATCTAGAGGAATAAATACTCCAGCCTCACTCTCGTCACTCTCTGATTTCTTGCTGATATTTCCTAGTAGCTGAACAGAGGTGCGAGGGAGCAGATGGATATAAACTAAACAGGCCAGCTTTCCCCATGCACAGAGCAGCGTGGAAAAGGACTGAGGATGATCTGGAGGGACAGGCTGTGTATCCAGCATGAACTCAACACTCCCAAACGTAGTGCTTCCAATGTGAGAGATTCCAGGGCACAAAAAAATTAGGTCTGAGAATTGAAATCATTGAGGGCTCCTCGTTTACTGTCTTCATTAGCATGACATTACAATTGCGTTGTCTTTATCAGCATGACTTTACCACTCCAAGCCACGTTTTGTCCAGGAAGATAAATGTTGCAAATCCATTTTAAATGCTCAACTTTTCAACAGACAGCATAAAATGACCATTAACCTTTGGAACCCTCACTCACTATGCTCACCAATCCCGAACCACTGCATCATATTTTTACCCAATCCTCACCAAGCCACCACACTGAATACCCACCTGAAACTAAATCCAATACTCATCAATTCCCCAACTTTGCTCTCTGAGTGAGCCCTGTTGCATGTGCCTAATATTTTGGAGGAAGAAGAAAGACTGAGTTTGGCCCTAACCGGTTTGGCTCAGTAGATAGAGCGTCGGCCTACAGACTCATGGGCCCCAGGTTTGATTCTGGTCAAGGGCATGTACCTTGGTTGCAGGCACATCCCCAGTAGGGGGTGTGCAGGAGGCAGCTGATTGTCCTTTCTCTCATTAATGTTTCTAACTCTTCCTCTCTGTAAAAAATAATAATAATAATAATAATAATAATAATAATAAAATGTATTTTTTTAAAAAGAAAGAATGAGTTTACATTCATTCAGTATGCGTCATCTAACTCCAAAGACCTCCTTTGGTCATGTCTACTTCAAAGTGCTTCCTCCTGGCTCCACCTCTAATATGGCTCTGACCCCCAGGGGAATTCAGCTCCCGTTGGCTTTCCCCTCCCCTCATTGATCATGCAAAGTGAATTCTGACTCTAACTTGAAGCCATCCAGCCATTTCTTAAGAAAAAAAAGATATTCTCTTACTGCGAGAACCTGTTAAGAAAATAATTTTTTTTTCTACACATCACATTCGTGGTTAGGGCTAACCCTAACCAAAAAATTAAAAACCTTAATGTCTACCCATGGGCCATCCATATTATGAAATCACTATATCATGACAGAAAGGGATGAGGTGGATTTCTATGCACGAACATGCAAGGATCTTCATGACATACTGTTAAGTATATAAAACAAGTTGCTTACAAATAGGTATAATATAATCCATTTTTGTTAAAATATCATACACATACATGCCTTTCCGTTGCATGTGTGTTCAGTATAAATCAGCAGCTCCCTGATTCTGCTCACTTGTCCCTCAGTGGACCGCATGGGGGAAGTAAGAGAAGCCATGAAACAATACTGATGTTGTTAATAAATGAAACCTTTGATCTTTCCAAGAAAGTGTTGATGAATGTTTAACAACTGGCGCTCCAGAAAAAAGAAAAGGAAAGGGAGAAAGCCCTGGTATGTGATGTTTGCTGTGCCCATGATATAAACACTCTCACCGCAGTGGATTTCAAGCCACCTGTTGACATGACCCAGCGTTTGTGAGAAGAGATATGCATCAGCAGCTCTCTCTAACCTGCTCTGCCAGCTCCAGCTGCATCACCCTGACTTTCTCTCTCCACATTCTTGGCATAAGTAGCTGTTCTTAAAGGCCCAGCACAATGCCTCTCTCCTCCTCCAAGGACTTGAAAGTAACAGACCAGTTTATTTCTGCCGCTGCCAGGGAAAGAGGGGGAACAAGGGCTCCCAAAGAGGAGATGTTCACACCCCTCAACTCTCAAGGTGTCCGCGTCTTGCATGAAGCCAACAGCCTTACTAACGGGTCAGCGAGTTGACTTTCATGTTTGCTAGCACTGCACTCCTCTGGGAGCAACAGAAAAGCCCACTGTCAGTAGCTGAAGCAAGTAGACATTTATTTTCCTCCCATCACAAGACACACCAGGGAGGACAGGACAGACCAGGGCCTTACAGAGCCGGCTCCTTCTGTCTTCCCACTCAACTATCCATCCTCCTTGTCACTGCGCGGTCACAGGACGTCTGCTCCACCTTCAGCATCACACTGTATTTAGGGCAAGAAAAACAGGAATATGAAGGGCGAGAGAGGCACGTGGGCATGCCAGATGGATCTGACCCAGAGGAAGAGCCCACTGGGAAGCCCTATCCAGGACTTAGCTCTCATCCCAGGGGCTAGACACACATCGTGTGATCACCTCTCCCTTTAAGAGAGGCTGAGAAATGGAGCACACCCCCCCCCCAAAAAAAGGGGGTTCTGTTAGGCCACCAGAAGTATTTTTCACAAACTATGAGGGATGGGAACAGGACAGATGTAAGGGATAAGGCAGACGAGAAAGGAGAGAATTTCCAAAAAGGCTCAACAGGACTTAGAATCCCAAGCTCACAGGAGGGAAAAGCCAGCTCTGCGCAGATCCAGAACACACAGGGTGAGGACTTGAACCTGGAGCAACAGATAATGTCCCTGAGGGGGCAAAGAGGGAGATGGATTTTGAGGGAAAACATACAAACAAACAGAAAAGTGCCAGGTCAAAACCCACTGGGTTGGAGAGGCTTTGGAGATAGGAGTTTCTAAGAAGGAAAACAGGAAACAGAAGCCAGAGGGGAGGGCACGTTGGCCTGTTGCATGTCCTGGAACCAGAAAGTGGAGACTGAGGGACAGATTTAAAAAAACAACATCGTTGAGACCTGAGGCCTGAAGGACCCAGAAAACCTGAGTGTTGACGTGTCTGTCTGTGCCCTGCGTGGCTCACCTGGGACTGTTGGGTGGATGGATCTCCCTGCTACTGTCCTTAGACAGCCCTGTGGGCCCTGAATTCCAGGTAACAGTGGACAAAGAGCTATGCCACCCCAGGGCCAGAGCAAAGCTGTTCAAATGAAAGACTTTTTCACAGGCCTCCTTTTCGCCGTTAGAGGCAGCCTCGCCACCTAGTGGCTGGTGGTGGTGTGTGCCTCACTGCACCACAATTTCTTTCCCCAATTCGTGCCTATGCTCTTTCTGCTCTGGGGCTACCGCCTGCTGCTCTCTCTCCACAGCCTGCCTCCTGAGTCACCGCCCAGGGCGGACAAACAAACCTCGTGGGGGCCTGGATGGAGCGGGGGAGCGGGGGTGTCGAGACTCAGTCATCTGGTAGGGCCACCTGGTAGCAGCCAAAGACACCATTGGCTTTGAGCTATGGGGAGCTAGACCTGTTCAATAGCGACAGCTAGCGGTCACCCTCCACAGCAAGGTGCTCTGAGCCTCACAGGGAAAGAAAGCTCAAGGTGTGGGGAAATCAGGACCAGATTCTTGGCTGTGAGTGGAGACTGGCACACATCCAAAGCCATTCTTGGCTAAAATGGTATGTAGAAGCCTTAGCTGGTTTGGCTCAGTGAATAGAGTTGGCCTGGAGACCGAAGGGTCCCAGGTTCAAATCCAGTCAAGGGCACATGCCTGGATTGTGGGCTCAATTTCCTGTAGGGGATGTGCAGTAGGCAGCCAATCAAAGATTCTCTCTCATCATTGATGTTT